AGGCGTGAGCCACCGTGCCCAGCATGAATTTGCTTTTTAAGAGAAGAGAAAATGCTGGGTAAGAACCAAAGACATACTGACAAGACATTTGGCACAGTCGATGCACACTGGTCTTTATCCTGTTACAAGATTTGTTCACACTACTCCTGGAGAAGTCAGGAGAATGTGCTAACATCAGGGTGCAGTAGAGCTGTGCTGGGGACTCAGACGTGGCTTAATTATTATTGCTCTTTGTCCCCAAGGATTATTAGGCCCTGGGAGACTTGAAGTAACCAAAACACACACACCTGAAAGCTAATGTATTAATGGCAAGTGAAATGTATCACTGACACACGGAACCAGAAATACATGACATTGGCACCATCGGCCAAGTCCCTCCTTGTGGCCATTCAGGCAGACATGGAAACCATGAAGCACAGTCTCTCCAGAAAAGCACACTTCCTGTGGCTAGGGTTGCTTGGTGGGCATGAAAGCAAAAAGAAGAGTGTCAAAAAAAGCAGTATCTAGTGGCATCAGAGGGTGGATGCATCCATCTCGTCAAATAATGTCCTCCTCTGTGGAATTAGAAATATCTTAAGTCTGGCGAGGACAGTTCTTCTGTCACCCCTGTTATTCCCTCTTTACTGTCTAGTCTATCTAATAGCCCAGGTGCCGTTCTCACTCCAAACGACTTTTTTGGATGATAATTTTATATGCATCCACTTTGGTACAAAGTAGACATGAATAAATGCCATATATTCCATAGTGGTAAACGGCGTTTGATGACCTAGACACATAAGTGTACCAAATCTGAGTGAAACCGCAGCGTTTAAAATTTAAAGAAACTTACGCTACAGCGAGTCCACAGATTTTGCGCAGTTAATGCTAACAGTATGGGCTTATCCCGTGGCACACTGAGAATTAATCACTCCAAAGTGCAGAAGGACTCACTGAGCCATACAAACATGTCCATTTACAGAGGCTAAACTGACTGCAAAGGGAGAAAAATGAGATTGGATCCAAAGGCACCAGGGGATCATGGCTATTGCTGAGATTCAGACTTTCCTTCAAGAAGTCACAGGTCAAATCAGAGACGACTCCAAGATTCCTCCCTTCCGACATCCCTGGCCTTTTCCCCTTGCAGTGCCCTTCCAGCCCCATCCAGGTGTGTTCTCCCTCGCAGCAACTGCTGTACGGCCGGTGCACCCTAGCATCAGCCCTGCGTTCTCCACAAGCCCGTCTCCGACTATTCCGAGGCCAGTTACATCCTCCGCATCTTGGAGAGCTCAGAGCACCTTTGCCTCTAAACTTCCACGTAAGATCTGTCTTCCTCTAACTCCAAAGGAAATAGCTGCAGCCGGTCCCCAGGCTTTTTACCTTTGGCCCTACCCCAGTGGACAATCTGATGACTCCTGCGTTCCCCCCGGGACCAGGCTCCTCACCGATTCCTACTCCCAGCCCCAAATGCTCCCTCGGTCCCCAGGAAGCAGCTCTGCACCCCCGCGTGGGGCGCCCCGACTTCGGCCAAGCGCTGAGCTGCGTCCCACTGCCGGCGCCCCGCCACCCGGGAACCCCAGCCGGGAGCGACCCGGGGCGCCCCCGAGCCCGGCCCACGTGCTCCCCGCTCTCATTCATTCCGCGCGCGGCTGTCAATGGCGCCGTGACCTCTGCGCCCCGCCGGCCGCGCGCTCCCGACCTCACCTGCGCGCGGGCGTCGGCGGCGGCGCGCGGCCCCACACCGCCTGGGGAGCCCGGCCCGGAGCTGCGCCCCGCGGGCCTCCAGGAGCAGCCGCGCCGCCACCGCCACCAGCGCGAGGCCATGGTCCGAGTCCGAAAGTCGCGGCAGGGCGGCGGCTCCGCCTCTGGCCCCACGGCCCTCCTCCCGGGACCCGGAGCCGGAAACCTGGCACAGGAAGCGCTTCGGCCCCGCGCGGTCCCCTCGCCTCGCTCCTCCCCGCGGCTCCGCTGCTGGCGCCTCCTGGGTGGCCGCGCGGCAGTCGGGCCCGAGGCGCCGGTTCTGTAGCCCGGACGCCCGGCGGTCCCGAGGAGGCCGAGGAGAAGGAGTCGCGGCGGCGGCGGCGGCCGGGCCGGGCCCACTAAGCGTGACCCTCCACGCTTTCCCCGAAGCGGCTCACGGGGAGCCGGTGACACCAGCAGTCGAAGCAAAAATGTATCTTTAGGGGACCGCCGTTAGCAGGAAATAGCACGGTGTGCCACATCTGCGGCCACTCACTTTTTGGTTTTGCGTATTTAGGCAGAAGTATGACTCAAAGAATCGGGTTCCCGTTCTGCGGCCTGATCCGGAGGCTACAGTTTCCGCGTCTGCTTTTCTTGGGTATGACCCGCCACGCCATGGTCTGCTGCCTGTTGCAACCTGTGCTTGAAGGAAGTGTCAACCTTTTGCATCTTTCTAGTAACGAGTCCAGTCACGTTCAGGACTATTGTGAAACAGAAGCTAAATTAGCCTCATCTCTCGACTTTTGGACTCTATCTTCTGATAACCTTATAGGTATAGTTTGGCAATCTTGCTCGTACCTGGATATGTGAGCCCCACCCGTGGGTGTCCTGAGCTGCGTGAAATTGTTTAATGTTTGGTAATGTTGGACCTTTTACCCAGCCCGGGAGATGCTGCAGACCGTGTAGGATTGCTACCCGATGTGGGTCAGATAGACCTTCTTTCCTTAGCTCTACAACCACATCTGGTCTCCTCAGAGTGTATTTTAACAGAAATCCGTATTCAACACGTGCACTCAAACACACAGAGCCAGTGTGAGAGGGTTGTAAGCTTTAGGGATAGAGAAATAAACTTACTCAGTCCCCCCCAAATTCACTCCTATGAGGAAATAGACTAGCAAATAGGTAACTGCGGTTGTCTGATACATTTTTTTCTTGTACTTACGAACCACACTTCTTGAATCAAAGAATGCAGTAGCCCTATAGCTGTGCACGTTATTTTCATCTTTATTTTAAAAATGTAGTTTTTTATTACGTAAAAGCATCATGGAATATATAAAGAACTCTTAAGCCAACTTTTTGGCGATTTTTCAATTTTGAAGGATAGTATGTAAAAAATATGCAAAGTGCTCTACACATAAAGGTTAATACGCACCTGTGGTTTATCTTGATGTAGATTAGGTTTATGTATTAAGAAACATCCAAGAGGTAGAATTTGCCAAAGTAGAGTATAGCAATAAACACTTTGTACTTGACAACCTTATGACTAAGATACTATCACTTGCCCCTTTTTATTCAGATAAGGAAACATAGAAATATAGAACATAGAAACATAGAAATATTTTACTGTAAAAAATATCTTAAGTGCACGCCCAGGCTCGTATGGTTGGCAAATACAACACTACACAATTCCGTCAGGCCATTTGCATTTAGAGATTGCTTGGCCAGATTAGAACAGAAAACCTGGCTCTTAAAAAGATGCTTAAGGCAAGGCTAAATGGGGAAAGCAGGTGCAGTTACTTAGGGCTTCTGACATTAATATGGCAAAACTCGAGGAAGAACAATAGCCTACCGATAGGACATGCAAAAATTCAAAAGTGATTCTTTAATCTCTCACAGGTTCAGAGTAAATAAAAAGTTTTTTTAAAAAAGTGGTTCTTTTGACCCAACTAGGTCAAGTATGAGTTGATGAAGTTAAAAACATCCGAGCAGTGCAGGTAACTGCTAAAGAACGGGCTTCTCTTGTGCAGGCTAAAAAACAACTTTGGTTTTTCCTACTACATGTATGCAAATGAAACAACCAGTATGGATGGATCTAAATGGACTGTGTGTGTAATTGAAAGCATTTTGAAAGTTGTCATTTCAATGATGGAGGATTGGGTACACTCAAAGACATTTTCTTGCCATATTGATGATACCGTTCAAAACATATTATCTGGCTGGGCTTGGTGGCTCATACCTGTAATCCTAGCACTCTGGGAGGCTGGGATGGGAGGATCAATTGAGGTCAGGAGTTTGAGACTAGCCTCAGCAAGAGCAAGACCCCCCACCCCACTAAAAAAATATAAAGAAATTAGCCAGACAATTAAAAATAGAAAAAATTAGCTGGACGTGGTGGCACACGCCTGTAGTCCCAGCTACTTGGGAGGCTGAGGCAGGAGGATCGCTTGAGCCCAGGAGTTTGAGGTTGCTGTGAGCTAGGCTACCGCTATGGCACTCACTCTAGCCAGGGCAACAGAGTGAGACTCTGTCTCAAAAAAAAAAAAAAAGAAAGTCTTACAATATGGTTTTACACCATTATTTCATTTGATCCTCACAAGGACTTGCTTCTATACGGCTGGGGAACTTGAGGTTCAGAAAAGTCAGGTCTGAAAAACTGACAGGTAAACGTGTTTACAATCTATCAAAGGGGAAGAGCACTTGCAGAACTAGATGCATTATGTGATACCACCAAAAATTTACATATACACACACCAGACAATTGGATTTGAAAACACAGAAACAAGGGTATTAAAAGTAATTCTGAAACAGATAGGATTGTGGGCGTGTTTTGTTTTACTCCTTTTTTTGGCATATATTTTCTGATTTTCCTCTAATGAACATGTATTACTTTAGCCATATTAAAATGACAATAGGCTGGGTGTGGTGTCTGGCCTATAATCCCAGCACTATGGGATGCAGAGGAGGGAGGCCAGCCTGGGCAATATTGCCTGACCCCGTTTCTACAAAAATAAAAAATAAAAAAATTAGCTGGGTCTGATGGTGCATGCCTATAGTCCTAGCTACTGGGGAGGCTGAGGCATAAGGATCCCTTGAGCTCAGGAGTTCATTAAAGAGAACTTGTCTTTTTAAAAAAAAAAAACAAAAAAACACAATAATGGTTGTCTTTGCCAGGAAAGTTAGGAAGTCAGGGCTGAGCTTCATTCTTTTCACCACAGCATTACATATTCATTAAACCAATAAGAACATTATGACATCCCAAGCATTTATAATGTCCCAGAAAACAAAGGGATAATCCTTCCTTTTGCTTTTACCATTGTATGATAACCTACTTCTTTTCAGTCTTCGTGGGTAATTAACTCATACGAATTCAGTATTTTATTATAATACTTATATATAAGGGCACCTTAATGGAAGAGTTACAATTACTCAGCTGGAGACCTAATGATAGTCCTCTAATCTGGGGTGAAGGGTTCAAATTACACAGCTAATTAATACAGGGGGCTTTTTACCACTAAGTAGCCTAATCGTAGTTAGTAGCATATTCTTTGGAAGACACATCTTGGTTCAAATCTCAACTTCTGTGTTACCTTGTAACATCTTTCTGATAACACCTACTCATGGAAAGATGCTGAGATTAATTTAGAGAGTATACATAAAGCTTTTAGCTCAGAGCCCAGTGCACAG